ATCAGATCGCGGCTTCAAGCTTTGGCGAAATGGCGATGTTGTTGCAGGAGTACTTACGCCGTGTACAGTTGCAGTGGGTCTATGCCATGCAGTAGACTAACCTTCAAAACCAAGTCCGAGATTGTGTGAGCGTGATGTATCGTGGCTGCATCCTGGCGGAGGAGCGCGATGGCTGCGGTCCTGGCCGCGGTAGAGTGTGGCGCCGCAAACCTAACCGCTCCACTTTGCATTCTGATAATTCACCGTCGCGTGTACTCATCGTAGCCGTTGTGGGTTTCGTGTTTGGTCAATCACTTTTGCCGTTCGGACTTGAACTTGGCCCTGTTGTCGCAGGCGGAACACCCTCTTTTTGCCGCTTTCATTCGCCGCTGTTCCCTCCGGTACGGTCTTCATAGCGTGGTGTGAGAGGGGCGTGGGTGATAGCTGTGGGTGCGTTGACGATGTACCGGATCCGTTTCCTCTTCTACGCTGGCGACGCGACCTCGCACCCAGCACGGCAAATCTGACTACGCACCAAAACAGTTGCGCCGACTGTTGCGCCGGGACATAGAAGAACAGACGTGTAACTCATGGGCCTTGAACGGGTGCGCCAGCTGCCACTGCGCTTTCTCTTGCGCCCACGCCGCACGATCCAACAAGCGCCGCTAGACTTATGTAAGCAGCTTCCTTCGCCGAGCAATGCTGCCTTAGCACGTCTCGAGGGCTCTTTGCTCGAGAACGACTCAAGTCGCAACTCTTGCGTCCTTGTGTGGCGTCGTCCCACCATGGAACGTCTGAGCACTTGGGGTTGTGCGGTTGGGAGCTGTTGGGAACGTTCCGCAGTAATACGTGGCGCCACCACAGCCCTCAGGATCGACCATCGGGCGCCTTCTCAGATCCTAACGGGACATTGGGCAAAACGCGTCATAGAAGACGGTTTTATGTGGGTTTTATGTGGGTCAAACCTATCATTGAGGGTTTTTCTGGGATTTAAGTGTATTTCCCATGCGACATGTCTGTGCATTCAACAAGTTACCATACTCGCCGTCGCAACACCTGGCGGCATGGCGCACGTCTTCTTTTGCAGGCCACCCATCGTCACCGACGATCTCGGTTCACCTTCTCAGCTCACTGTTTTGCACTTGGAAGTGAGCTCATTCTCCCATTGCCTTCGCCACGAGCAAGCAGCAGCAGCATGCAGAAGGACAATCATCTCGACAAGCTCGACCTCGAAGAGCGCGTCTCGTACATCCACAGCAACACGCCGGCCGACAAGGAAACTGGCGGCAACTATGACGAGGTCAAGACGCCCGGCGAGCTCGAAGACGGCGCGCTCGTCGACGGTGGCGCGCTCAACATGTACTCGCGCGAAGCGTTTGCACTCTTTGCGCAGTACGGTGCGATCGGTATCATCTACGGCATGATCCCGTCGCTCATGTACCCGATCTTCAACAACTACCTCAACATGGAGGGCTACCAGACCGCATCCTACGGCGTGCTCGTGACCACGGGCTGGTCGTTCAAGGTCTTCTTTGGCATGCTCTCGGACTGTGTCCCGATCTTTGGCTACCGCCGCAAGAGCTGGATGATCATTGGCTGGACCATCACGATGATCTGCTTGGCCATCATGTCGTTCGTCTCGCTCGGTGACCCGTACTGTGACGCGCGCCAGATCGACTGCTCGGAGATCACGCTCGAGGCGGCGACGCCGGACCAGCGCAAGTGGTTCAACGAAGACGCGCCGAGCAAGGGCTCGCTCTTCATCATCCTCTCGATGCTCGTCTCGGTCGGCTACGTCGTGGCCGACTGCGCCGCCGACGCCATGGTGGTCGAGTACGCCCAGCGCGAGCCGATTGCGATCCGCGGCCGCATCCAAACCGCGATCTACACGGTGCGCACGCTCACGGGCATCCTCGCGCAGGTCGTCGTCGCCTTCTTCCTCAACGGCAAAGAGTACGGTGGTACCTTTGACTGGGCCGTCGGCCCCAACGTCCCGTACGCGATCTGCCTCGTGCCGTGCGTCCTCGTCGTCCTCTCGACCATCTTTATCCAAGTCGAGCCCAAGACGCGCAAGATGGCATTTGGCGAGTGGATCTCTCAGTTCTGGGAGCTCCTCCAGAAGCGCGTCATGTGGCAGATCTGCGCCTACCGCTTCATTGCCAACTCGTTCCAGGCGATTTCGGCAACGCCGGCGTCGCCCATCGCGATGAAGTGGGCCAAGGTCGAGCCGCTCAACGACTCGCTCTCGGGTGTCGTGGGCAGTCTCATTTTCTCGGGTATCCTCATTGTCGTCGGCAAGTACGGCCTCAACTGGAACTGGCGCTACACGATCGCGGCCGGTACGCTCGGTGTCATTGCCGTCGACTCGTTCGTGACGTTCATGACGATCTGGGACGGTCTCCGCAACCAGTGGTTCTACACGGGCGTCGCGCTCGCCGACAACGTGCCGGGTGGTGTCCGCTTCATCATCTCGACGTACTGCGCGGTGGAGATTGCTGACGTCGGCAACGAGGGCGCCACGTACGGTCTTGTGACGACGATCAACAACCTCGCGTCGCCGTTCGCGTCGGTCATCTACAAGTACATTGACTCGTACTTTGACGTGTCGCAGAAGGCCATCATGCGCGACGACGACCACGTGCGCTGGGAAGTGTCGTACTGCTTCTTCATCTCGTACAGCTGCAAGATCTTTTCGCTGTTCTGGCTCTTCATGCTCCCGCCCCAGAAGGCGCAAATGCAAGAGCTCAAGAAGCGCGGCGGCAAGAGCAAGCTCGCGGGTGCCCTCTTGATTGTCCTCTTCTTTTGTGCGATCGGCTTTTCGCTCACGAGCAACATCATGGCGATTTTCCCGTCGACCAAGTGCTACCGCATCGCCGGCGGCAAGGGCACGGTCAACGGCACGTGCCCCAAGTAAACTTTGTCCCAGTTGTGATTTAAAACCAAATGAATATGTCGTGTGCTTTTTTCCTCTGCTCGTTGCATATTGCTCGCTTGATCCAGGTCACCCGACGCTTGTTCGCACAAGGTCCTACTCTCTGAGAAGGCGCAAGGACCAACAAACGTGATGAATCGAAACGATTTGTCATATTGACCATCGGTACATATCGTCATGCGCATTCTACGAGATATAGGGGCTGGGCTTGACCGTGACGTGGCAGCGTCAAGAGGGATCACGAGATACCGCCGGCGACACCGCCGGCCGCGAGGTCCGTGAGGAAAATGATAACCTCCAAGAAGCCGAGTTCCGTCTTGTCTTCGGACGTCGTCTTGGGAGCCGTGAGCGTAGTCGACATATTTACTGCAGTAAAAAACTAAATGGTCGCCCCCACAGCCCCCCGTGCAGACTGTCTAGCAATCGGACGACGGCTACGAGCCCGCTGCGGATTGGTCAAAATACACGTGCTTGGATTGGTTGAAAGCATTGGATTTCGACTGAATGCGCCAATGGCCTTGCAGCATGCGCCTAGAAGCAATGGTCTCTTGTCATTTGTATGAAAAGGGTCTTTTGCATAGACGCAAAACGCGACCACGTGGCAAGGATGCCACTTTGCATCTCCGCTTCCATGGCCGCTGCTCCGACATCGTCGATCGCGCACCTCGCGACGTGCGTCAGTGGCATCTACGTGTGCTACCTCTCGTACGGTATCTTTCAGGAGAAGATGTACGCCGTCTCTGCGCTCCAGTGTCTCGATGCTCATCCTGTGCTAGCTTCAAGTACCGCGATGCGGACGGCGCCAAGTTCACGGCCACGCTCTTCCTCCTCTGCGTGCAATGCATCATGAACTCGGCCGTGGCCTGCGCCGGTATGCCTTCGCTAGCATATCGCCTTCGTCGCCTCACGTCCACGGGTAGCCACGTTTGTCTGGAAGCCAACGACCAAGTCGGTGCCATTGCAGCCGTTTGCATTCTCGGCCTTTGCGTACCTCGGCGCAATGCTCTGCAGCAACGAGGCGCTCAAGCACGTGAGCTACCCGACGCAAGCGCTCGGCAAGTCGTGCAAGATGATTCCTGTCATGCTCATGGGCGTCCTCATCGGCCGCAAGAAGTATGCGCTCAAGGAATACCTCTCGGTCGGCCTCATCACGCTTGGCATTGTGGTCTTCCAGCTCGGGAAAGCGTCGTCGAAATCGGGCCAAGAGAACAGCTACTACGGCCTCGGCCTCTTGTTTGTGAGCCTCGCGCTCGACGGCGTCACGGGCCCCAACCAGGAAGCGCTCTCGGCCACATACAAGCCGTCCGTGCACCAGCAAATGCTCAACACCAACGTGTGGGCTGTCGTCTACACAGCGATCGGGTAATACGATGCTGTCGAACTCCAGCATATCCATGTTGTCTCTCTTGTAGGTGCCTTGTGACGGGCCAAGGCGCGGACGGCTTTGCGTTTTGCATGCGGAACCCCGAGATCTACTCGGCGCTCTTCCTCTTCTCGGTCTGCAGCGCGCTCGGCCAAAACTTCATCTACTTTACGATCCAGCGCTTCTCGGCGCTCACGTGCACGACCATCACGACGACCCGCAAGTTCTTTACCATCCTCGCCTCGGTGCTCATCTTTGGGAACGCGCTCTCGCCGCAGTCGTGGGCCGGCGTCGCGATCGTGTTTGCTGGCCTCGGTATCGAACTCACGACCAAGTACGCCAAGTACGCGGCCAAGGCCAAGCGCACCGAGTAGGAAGCTTTTCTGCCTCAAAATACCTTTTACTCTGTACACCTAAATGACGTGGCGCCACCACGGCGCGTTCCTGGGCGACAAGGCGACAACGCGAGCTGCGACAGACGCCATGGCGAGCTGCGACAGACGCCATGGCGAGCTGCTGCAGAGGCCAAGGCGAGCGACCACAGAGGCCAAGGCGTGCGCGTGACGGGGCGGGTGTCACGTTGGATATCTTGGGAAAGATCGCGTTTCGCGTGAACGGTCGCCGAACAAGAGTTGCAACCGACGGCTCGTAGCCACCAGCATTTCGGAAACGACCATGAGCAGCTACCTCAAGGAAGGCGTGCTCACGAAGCGCAGCGCGAGCGCCAAGCTCATCACCAACTGGCGCAAGCGGTACTTTGCGCTCACGCCGACCGAGCTGCTCTACTTTGAGAAGAAGGACGACGCGGAGCCGGGTCGGCGGACGCCGCTCGGCCCGGACGCGTCCATCTCGCGCACCAACGACCGCGGCTACAAGCTCTGCTTTGTGGTCAAGTCGACGCCGACGGCCGAGCCGTTCTACATCCAGGCCGCGTCCGAGGTGCGTACGAAGCCACGACGTTGCAGGTCGCAGCAGCGCCCCGTAGGACGAGCTCAAGGAATGGGTCGACGCGATTGGCAAGGTCGTCGGCAAGATCGAGGACCTCGTCAACGACGGCGCGGCCAAGGAGCCCGAGGCCGCCAAGGTCGATGAAGTCGGCAAGGAAGACGTCGTCGAGGGCGGCGAGAGTACCGACGCGCCGGCAGCGTCCGGCGAAGCCACCGGTACATGCACCACCGTGAGTGTGATTCACGCAGCCTTGTAGATGGCACGCCACCGACAACCGAAGGCAGCGAGTGAAGACACGATCGTCGTCGCTTCAACCCTCATTGACCAACCTCCGCGCCTGCATATCCATAGCGCTATATATCTTGCTACACTAAGTCCAATGCCAAGGCGCGTGTCATGCAGCAATGCTTTGTAGCGTCTTATATGGACGAGCAGGATAGTGCGCCTAGTTCTTCTTGGCCTTGGGCGACTCCTTCTTGGGCTCCTCGACCTCTTCGTCGCGAGCCTTGGTGCGCACGAGCTCGTCAAACATGGCGATCGTGTCGGCGACGGTCTTGGTGCCATGGATCTTGTTGTCACGCGTGCGGATGTTGACCGCGTGCTTGGCCTCTTCGTCCGCGCCGACGACGCAGATGAAGTTGTAGTGGGCCATTTGGCCCTCGCGGATCTTCTTGTTGAGCGTCTTGCTCGAGTCGTCGACGTCGACGTGGTACCCAGCGCAGAAGAGCTCTTCCTTGACGACGTGCGCATAGTCGTTGTACGCGGCGCCGACCGAGACGATGAGCACTTGGCGCGGGCTCAGCCAGAACGGGAACTTGGCGGCAAAGTGCTCGGTGATGATCGCGCAGAAGCGCTCGATCGAGCCGTAAATCGCACGGTGGATCATGACCGGGCGCGCAAACTGCTCCGAGCCGTCGGTACCGCCGTCGCTGCGGTACTTGAGGTCGAACCGGATCGGCAGCTGGAAGTCGAGCTGGACGGTCGCGCACTGGTGCTTGCGGTTGAGCGCGTCGGTCACCGTAATGTCGATCTTGGGGCCGTAGAACGCGCCATCACCGGGGTCGACGCTCCAGTTGCCGGCGCCGATGAACGTGTCCATGGCCGACGCGAGCGCGCCCTCCGCCTTCTCCCAGAGCTCAGCCGAGCCAAGCGCCTTCTCGGGCTTGGTCGAGAGCTTGAGCTTGCAAGAGAGGCCAAAGACGTCGTACACGTCCTTCATGAAGTTGAGGTACGACAGCACTTCGGTCGTGATCTGGTCTTCGCGGCAGAAGATGTGCGCATCGTCCTGCTGGAAGCGACGCACGCGCGTGAGGCCCGTGAGCGCACCCGAGAGCTCGTTGCGGTGGAGCACGCCGCAGTCGGCGAGACGCAGCGGCAGCTCGCGATACGACCGCAAGCGGTGGTCAAACATGAGGCAGTGCGACGGGCAGTTCATCGGCTTCATCGCAAACTCCTGGCCTTCGACGTTGAAGACAAACATGTTGTCCTTGTAGTGCTGCGCATGGCCCGACGTGTGCCAGAGGTCCATGTTGAAGACGTTGGGCGTGATGACCTCGTGGTACCCGCGCTTGCGGTACTCGGACCGAATGTACTCGAGGAGCTTCATGTAGATGCGCGCACCGTGCGGCAGCCAAAAGCAGCAGCCCGGCGAGAGCTGGTGGAAGAAGTAGAGCTCTTCTTGGAGACCGAGCTTGCGGTGGTCGCGCTTGGCGGCTTCCTCTTGAAAGTGCTTCCACTCCTTCATCTGCTTGGTGTCGGGAAAGCTGATGCCGTACACGCGCTGGAGCGTATCGTTGGTCGTCTTGCCGAGCCAGTACGTGCTCGACGTGCGCGTGACCGCAAACGCCTTGATCTTGCCCGTGTGCGGCACGTGCGGGCCGCGGCAGAGATCGATGAGCGGGCCACAGCGGTACGCCGTCGTGCGGCCGCCGTCCGGGATCTTGGTCGAAATGATCTGCGTCTTGAAGATGTTGTCGGCAAACATCTCGAGCGCCTCTTCCTTGGTCAAGACGATGCGCTCAAAGGCCTGCTTCTCCTTGACGACGGCCGTCGCGCGCTTCTCAATGTCCTTGAGCTCGCCTTCCGCGATCGTGCTAGCAAGGAAGAATGAGACATGGGAGTGAGGAAGGGGAGATGATGACATACTTTTCGCCCATGTACGAGTCGTAGTAGAACCCGCCCTCGACCGGGGGGCCGATCGTCAAGTGGCAGCCCTTCATGAGCTCGAGGCCCTCGCCGAGGATGTGCGCGCTCGAGTGCCAAAAGACCATGCGGCCTTCTTCGTCCTCAAACTTGAGGAGCTGGAGCTTGCAGTCGCCAATCAACGGGCGGAAGACGTCCCAGAGTTCTTCCTTCAGATCGCCACCCGAGCAGCAGCACGAGTCGGCGCTCTGGCTTTCGTTGCCATCGACATCGGCGGCCGTGACCTTGAGCGGGTCATTGGGGCTGCCAGCGTACTTGACCTTGGCCACGACGACCGAGTCGGCCAAGCCCTGCGAGATGCCCTTGGCAATGTCCAACGGCGTCGTTTCCCAGCTCACGCCTTCCTTGACCGTACCGTCGGGCAACGTGATCTTGATGGGCTTGCGCGGCTGCGCCGCAAGGAGCTCCTTCTGCGCCGCCATGACGCGGTCGTAGACGGCAATGCGGCGCTGGATGAACGCCGGGTTGGGCTCCAGCGTGAAGGCGCCGCCAATCTTGTTGGCATCAGCCGCGATCGACGGGCCGCTGGCCTTGGTCAAGCGCGTCTGCTGGCGCTTCGGGTCCGCCTTGTCGGCGATCGTGGCTACGCATAGCCTTAGTCCATGCTCCTCCATCACGAGCAGGCGTACCTTCTTGGAGCTTGGCAGCAGCCGCGTCAGCCATTCCTCTGTCAGGCGAAAATGGCAAATGTCCTCGGCTTCCACGAACCCCAGTCGGACCACAAAAATATTCTTATCCGGATACGCGCCTGGCGCTGCCGTTGTTTTTATTCGATTCGCATCCCATATATATGCATGTTTGTATGAATATAATAAAAGGGCCAGATAAAGCGACGTATTTTTATGTCCGCAAAGCCCCACGCGCCGGATAACTACTTCAAGGTCGCCAAGCGAAGATCGCGCGCCGAGTACCAACATTCAGATTCGCTTGAGACGCAGTTCGTCTTGCACGGTCCACGGCCGCAAGAAGATGCTCTCGGAACGATCTGCATCCTCAATGGATGCGGTCGCATGGCCACGCACTGCGGGCGCATGGAAGTGCCGGTCGAGACGAGCGAGACCTTGCAGTAGGGGTGTTGACGGCAGTGAGAGGAGCCGTGATCGCGTCTGCGACTTTGGACAAGAAAAGGCTGCAGGACGCAGATCACTTGCTCGGAACGTTCGGCGGCGCCGTTTTTGACAGAAGGACGAGTCTCGTTAACCACACTCACGTCGTGGCGACCTCTGCAACGAGGTCGACTAGAAGTTGCCAACGTCAAGCTAAACGAGCATGGACTCGTACTCAAGTGCAGCGGTCGTGGACGCTCGCCTGTGTGGGAGTGGTAGACTGCAGCAATTGACCCACACGGCTTCAGCGCGAGATCACCAGGGGCCTTGTGCTGAAAGCGCGTACAGTACCCTAACCGCTCAGCGTTCTGTCCGTGTCGTTTGTATGGGCAAGTGTCACCACCACCGAAGTATCGCATATGGATCGATGCTACAGTCTTGTTGCTGGGTGAGCTTGGCAGTGTACAGAAGAGTCATTGTTCGAGTTTGATTTAGTTTGTCTCGCCCATCGCATCTCAAGCGTCGCCAGGTCGACCACTTTGCGCTTGAAACGAAATGGCCAAGAGCTGGCAATTTGGTAGAGGACACTTTGGAGAGCACGGAATGCGAGGTCACATTGGCGTGCGAGGCGTACAGCGGCAGCGAGACGCGATCCAAGATGCACCCCATCTATCCGGATAAGATCGGATGCCTTCTCAGTGGCACCGCTCCAGGACGCAGACGCCACTTGTCGTGAAAATCACATTTGAAATGGATTCGCTCAAAGTTGGCACAATGATAGAAGAGCCTTTCGGGAGCAGAGCAGGCCACACTGTGTCATCGCTTTCGTCCTATAACGTGCGCAATGCTCAACAACAGATACAAAGCGCTCTGTAAACGTTAAAAATGCAAATGACCACATTGACACGCTGTTGTCAGCATCTTCGACACTTGTCTTAGCGACGATCATGCCTTTCATTCGATAGAGAGTTCGATTCATAGCAACATTGCCCAGAACCATCGCATCATGTGGAGCGATGGGGACGAGAGGGT